AATATTTAGAATAATATTCCAGAAGAATTTAAAAATTCTGTGGAGTAGTGAATGTAGTCTTATTTCTGTTTTTAGGTGTAGTGAATATGTGTAGTAAAAAAAAACTACATATATGAGTATTTTAGGACTTGTAGTTAAAAGGACTTACTGTATTTTTACTCGTATATTTTCACACTAGTGAATAAATGTAGCCGCTTCTGCACAAAGCAGTCTTTTTCCTCTCTTTCCTCTCATATAACTGGTGTTGAGTTTATCTGTCATGGTGTTGCCTTGCCACAGGCACCCGTGGACATAAGTTGACCAACAAATTAGGAAAAGTTTCAAGAGTTCTGCTCGACGGGATCTGCTCTATTCCGATATCTGCCACTTATGTCTGGTCATCCCACCTAATGGAATCAGCTAAGGGCATCTCAATACTGATAATGGTTAAATTGCACACGTCAAGAGGCTGATTGCCTGTTTGAGGTGTCGGAGCACCATGCGAGGTTAATCGCTTTTTAAATTAACACCCAAACCAGCCCTTCTTCCAACTGGTGCTTAACGCCAATACAAAATATGAATGTTTATAATTGTTTAGATAGCTTGAGCTCAAGGAGCTGTGTGTGTATTAATAACATGTGGAGTGTGGATGACAGAGTTATTTAAGGAGGGTGACGATGACCCCCACCCTGCAGCCAGGTAACCGCTGCCATAGATATCACCTCATTTTAGGGTGGGAAAGAGGGGAATCCCTCCTGTCTTCTGGGCAGACTGGCTTGCTGTGCTTACCTAACTGATGGAGTGTTTTCTGACACGTTAGTGTGGCCCAGGGTCCCAGAGCAGGGCTTGGCACCACCAGGTCCCACTTTAGCCGAAATCACAGCCTCTGACTCTGCTGCTGGTTCTCCGGAGGCCTGTTTCAGCACCAAACAATCAAGACGTGGCTGATTTGCTCTGTTTACATCGTACGACATTATTGTTTCTCTGTTTTAGGGTAAACAAAACAAACTCTTATTTTGGCAAGGTCTGGGGGGGGGGGAGGCAGGTTTGGGTTTGTTTACTGACACAGCGGAGAATGAGCTTAATAAGCAGAAAGGAAAAGGTTTTTCGCTCTGTTTGAAGGAATTGGATCATTAGGGTAACAACGGAATATTAAACCCCGGGGATTACATCAGAAAATAATTTCCAAGTCACCCTGTGCAATGCATGATAATAATTGTCTGCTTTCAGTTTTAATGTTATGTATATTTTGATGAGTAATGCTTAGTGTTGACATCGTATATATTGTACATTGTAATGTTTTCTTGATGACTTGAAGGGCTGTTCCGCGGCAGCAGAAAACAAACGCTTCATTCCATGTGAAAGTTTTGCTGACAGTGCGTCCGTTCCCTGTCGCTTGCTAGCTCAGTCGTCCCAGAGTGGGGTCAGGAGGGATCCCCACGTCCTACACCGTGATGGATACGGGGGCCTGCCGCCCTGTTAGGGTGAGTCTACTTGCTGGGGTTTCCGTTACCGTTCTTCGTTTTACTCTCCAGTCCCCGTCATGGTATCTACCAGAACAGAGGGCTCTTTCAGTGGGATACCTGTGCAGCTGTCCAAGTGGGAGCCGTGGGGGTGGTTTGACAGTTGACTGGACAGCGTGGTTGGGAAGACCAGGAGGTCTGGGAACTGTGGCGGTCATCAATCTGCTCCCCCCCCCCAACTCTCACGTTACAGTCCTTCTGTTACCTGATTTACTGCCAGTGTCTCTCTAAAAACACACATGATTTTCTGCTCATCGTCCGACGCGCAGTCTTCATCGTCTTTTCTCTGTGCTTTGTGTATCCTTCTCCTCCACCTGGAGATGTATCATCAAGCCTGTATATCAAGTTTCATGGTGTGTGTTTGCTTTTGTGATTAACTGTCTCCCTGCTTCCCAACACAGTCTCACTGGATTACTAAATATAGCGTGATACGATTTATTAATACCTACTCCAGAAAATGTGCTGACTCCTTCCTCTATGTACACCATCCACTTACGGGCCGTTTAAGCCAGAGTGATACACGGCTCACTCCTAGACGCATTCGTTCTGTGTTTTTTACCGAAAGGCCTTGACTTAGCTGCCTCCCCCAAGGGTCAGTGAGCAGCGACCCAGATAGAAAGACAAGTTTTTTTTTTTATGTCACCGGAATCTTTATTCGTCTATTGATGTCTGAAGCGGTTCGGCTAAGATCAGCGCATTCACTCTGCAACTCTGGCTTCGGCGTGCCTCCCTT